AAAATGATTTAAATATTTACCCCAAAGTCCGACGATCAACATAAAAATAATCAAAAACTGATTGCCATAATATTTCCCAAAAGCAAAGTTTACAGTGGAAGGAGGTTTAGGAGGAGGAGGTTCAACAATCACAACAGGTTTTGGAGGTTCGGTCTTATCCTTATTTAACTTATCAATAACAGAATTGCACATATCCTCTTCACACATAAAGCATTCGCATATTGTGTTATCGTGCCACTGAATTTTAGCAGCTGTACAATAACCACAATCAGTCCAAAAGAAATCTGATAAAGTTATTTAACCATTTTTTAAAAAATTTAAAATATTTTTAACTCAACGCTTAAATCTAAAAATATCAGTATTAATAAACAACCTGCACAATTAATTACAATACACACATGACTAACATTCGCCTTACATTCGGCAAGTTTCACCGGTGCAGGTTTATTCTGATCCGTTTCAACAACGCATTGAAGGCCTAGAAATATCAAAAAATAAATTTTAATAGAAAAATTTTTTGCCTTCAACATGCTGGATCACGACGAAAAACATGAAAAAAATGATAATTTTGATGAACATTTTTAAATTAAAAAAATAAAAATTCTTTTACTTATAATATAGAAAATGGAAAAATTCCGTAATATCTACCGGAAACCGATTCGGACAAATGATATGTCATTCGAAAGAGCTCAACGAGCTGAGTCAAACATCACCAAAATTAGCTTCGGGACTCACATATGGGCCGAGATATAAGTCCCCAAAAATCGAAAAACCATAGGGGGGAGTAAGCTCAATTTTGAGGTGAAAAATTCGATTTTTTGGTTGATAGCTCATTCGACTCAGCTCCTCAAGCTGAGTCGAATGATACCAAAATCAGCTCGAGATCTTTATTCTGAGCCGAGATAAAGAGGCTCAAATGGTCAACTTAAACCTACGGGGCGTCGGCGAGGCGCTTGTGCAAAACTCCGCGCTTCGCGCGGAGTTTTGCGGCACGCGCCTCGCGGGGAGTCTACGGGCGCTGGGTCTGGGCTCGTAACATAAACCTAGTCCCATCTCCCTTGCTCTGGACGTACTTGGGGCTCCAGTAGCATCAAAAACCTCCGCGGAGACCATAGGTAGGGAGCTAAAAGAAACGATCATAACCTTGTCAAATCAAGTCAGATTTCAATGATTTTGGTTTCAATCGACTCAGCTCGACAAGCTCTTTCGAAAGAGGTATAATTTGCATATTCGCATTTTTCACTCCAAAATTGAGCTTACTCCCCCCTATGGTTTTTCGATTTTTGGGGACTTATATCTCGGCCCATATGTGAGTCCCGAAGCTAATTTTGGTGTCGTTCGACTCAGCTCGTTGAGCTCTTTCGAATGACATATTATTTGTCCAAATTGGTTTCCGGTAGATATGACGGAATTTCACCTAAAAAATAATTAAAAATAAATTTTAAAAATTAAATAAATTAAATTGAAAATAATTAATTAACAATTGAGGTTTCTATTATAAATTTTCCTTGTCAAATAAAAAGCTTTCCCGGGACATGATTATTAGTGTTTCACCGGAACCGAAATTTTGACCGGATCCAATTTGAGTTCCGGTTTCCGGAACCGGAACTCTTCTAAGTTCCGGCCCGGAACCGGAACCGGAACTCTTCTAAGTTCCGGCCCGGAACCGGAACCGGAACTCTTCTAAGTTCCGGCCCGGAACCGGAACCGGAACTCTTCTAAGTTCCGGCCCGGAACCGGAACCGGAACTTTAAAAAAATTTGCTAGCAAATTTAAAAAATTAAAAAAAAAAATTTTAATTTAAAGTAGGGTTGTCGGTTTCCCCCAATTATTCTGTTATCCGAAACGATTAACCGAATCGGAACTTTCTGTTAACCAAAACCGAACTGTAAAACCGAACCGAACTACCCAAATCCCCTGATATGCCCGATAGCATATGATTTCCCCTTTGATCCCCGAATTTCAATTATCCTTCATCCCACCAGATATCAAATCACCAATATACCATTATAAATTTTGATACACGAAATCACCCAATATCATCCAAATACCCATTAATCCGGAACCGGATCCATTTTTTGGTTCCGGTTCCCGGAACCAAAAAAACACCGGAACATTCCGGAACCGTAACTTCCGGTGAAACTCTAATGATTATAAACTTTTTAGAGGTAATTAATAGAGCTACAAAAATACTCAAAAATAAAGGCCAAAGAAAATTTTTTTTGTGTATAACCTTAAAAAAATAGAAAAATTTTTCCCTAAGTAAATTTCAGCCACTGTAATAAAAAAAGAAAAAATTGTAAATGAAAACAGCAATTCTATGAATAAATAAATTTTATACAAGCCATATAGTTAAAAAATTTTTTATGATGAATCAGAATTTATTATTTAATTTTGTATTAATTATATTTAATTTTAAATTTATTTTTAATAAATATTTGTGGTGAATCAGGTTATATAATTTAATTTAAAAAAATTTTCTAATTTTTTAATATAGTTTGGATATGAATACTAATTGATGTAAATTAATAATTTTATGAATTTTATTTTATATTACCAAGAGGAAGAGCAGGAAACCGGAAATGAATAAAAAAGTAATTAATCAAAAATAAAAAAATACGAAATCAGAGTAAAAAATTAAGCACTCAAAATGTCGACCTAATTCTGATTACAAAAGCTATTCTTTAAGATACTTTTTTTAAATAAAGTTAGAATAAAAATTTCAATTATTTTTTAGATTTTTTAAAACATTAAGGAATGCTAAAAATTTTTCTTAGAGATTACTCACCTTCTATTTAAATAAATAAATTTTGATAAAAAATGAAATAAAAAGGCAATAAAACAGGCTTCTCATCAACAAAATGCCAATAAAAAGTACAAAAATCTCGATTTTAAGGTACATAGGGACTAAATTTCCGAAAGTACACTCCAAATTAAATTAGAGTGCTTAAATCTTTTATATTTCTCTCATAAATGAATTTTTTCTAATAATTTCTTGTTTTCACTGAGCTGAGCATGTCAATAACAAAATATTACATTTTTTGCGCCTTAGTCTAAAATTTTGAGAATTTTGGAGGTCCTTATGCCAGATTACTTCCAATGATGATTTAAAAGTACAATACTTTCAAATAAAGTACGAATGAGAACCCTGCAATAAAATAAATTGTTATTAATTCATTCCTAAGGCACCGATTTGTATGATCTTAATTTTAAATAGAGCTGGTTGAGGTCGAAATTTTGGAAAATGCAGAAAAGCCAAGATCGAGGTCGAGGGTCAGATTTGGGCCCGAACCGAGGTCGAGGACCGAGAAAAACCGAGTTTATAAAAATTTGAATAGTTTTTCAAAATCTACTTTTAAATTTGATGAAATTTATCAAATATTCGCTAACGCTTTATTAAATTAATATACTCCTCTAATTCATAGCCAATATGTGAAATAATTTCATAAATTTTGCTAAAATTTTTTTTAAATACTTTAGTTTGAAATTTGATGGCTAAAGGACTGGATAAAATTATATGATCAAATAATTTAAAACTATTTGATCATTTGGTACAGTGGATTTAGTCGAATATCGAAGGATCAAAGAGGTATACTCTGACATAATGCCTCTTTGGCTTCTTGACATCCCAACTTTTCAAAATTTTCATATCCCCTAATGGCCCATATATCTTCAAAATCCATTGAGCTTCCATCGAACTTCTTGGCCCTGCCAACTTTAAAAATTTTCGCCTACGGCATTAAAAATGGGAAGAATTTGGCGGACTAACCTCCACAAATTTCCAAAAATTTTCGCCTGCGGCATTGAAAAAGGCCGCATGAAAAGAAGGTTTGAGGAGATTTCGTGTAGGCATCATATTTTTTGGGTGTCCGGAAAATTGGGCCCTGGAAAATTGGGCTTTAAGATTTTTCAGAAATTTGGGCTCCAACTTTTCGGAAAATCGGGCTCCGGCGGTAATTTGAGCTCTGCGTGAAAAAATCGGAATATTGGGCTCTAAAATTTTGGGCTCCGGAGGAATTTTGGGCTCTGAGAAAAAAAGTCAAATTATGCAAAAATTAGAGATGAGTAAAGGACAAAGATGGATTTTCAGTATTTTTAACACAAATGCTCAAAATTAGGATTAGTGTTGACGGATCGAAAGAACTCTAGGGATATCACAAACTTAATTATTAAAATAATTAAGATGGTTTTTTTCACTTTTTTTTCACTTTGCGTGTACGCCCAACTGTTATGGTAGGAATAAGATTTCTTTATCAAATTCCACTGAATCGGACCAAACAATGAACCAATTTGCAGTAAAGGAACAGGACCAGGTACTCACCAAGACCAACTGGCCGTAGGTTCCGAACCTATAACTTGACTTCGCTCCGTAGGTAGAATTCGCTCCTTACCCAAATGTGAAAATAAAAAAAACATTTTCTCTTTGTTGCCCAACCCTGTTACGTTTTAAATTTCTCACCCCTTAAAATTCGGATTTCCGATAAAAATTTTATATATTATGTAGTTCATTGACTATTTCTCCTTAGTGATTGATTTTTTCCTCAGAGCCCAAAATTCCTCCGGAGCCCAATTTTCCGAAAAATCTTGGAGCCCAATTTTCCAGAGCCCATTTTTCCGGCACCCTATTTTTTGAGGAAGTATCAAACCTTCAAACCTTCAAGTAGCCTCGACCTCGACCAACTCTAATTTAAAAATATTTTTATATTTTTAATAAAACTAGCTAATAAATACTTAACTATTATATTAAAAATATTAAAAAAATTATTTTAATAAAAATATTTTTATTTTATTAAATTTAAAACAATTAATTTGAAATTAAATATTTTAATTAAAACATAATAAAAAATAAAAGCTCTTTCGTTAATAAATTTAAAAATAAGGGATATGGATCATAGACAACGGACAAATCCAAATTTTGTCAAATAATAAAAATTATTTTAATAATTCCGATCTTGTTTATTTCAAAAAACAATTTCATGATCATAATTTTTATTTAAATTTCAACCAAACCAGCTTGAAAATTTATTGCTAATTTTATCAACAACACCTCCATCTTTCAAAAGATAATCAGCAGCAGCACCAGCAACATGTTTACCAACAAACTTTCCAACAAATCCACCAGCTGCAGTTCCAATAGGTCCAAAAGCGGATCCAAGTGAGGCACCGATTGCGGCACCACCATACTCACCACCCTAGAATAATTAATAAAAAATATCAATGAAAAAATTATTATTTTTCAACTTTTATATATTTAGACTAATAAATGGAAAAAGAGAAATTTTTACAAAATATTAAAATAAAAATTTAAAAATAAAATTACCTTTAGGATTGCATTTCTAGCGGCTTCTTTTCCTTTATTTATGATGGGGCCAGCAATATTGATCGCTTCCTTAGCAAGATTAATTTGACCTTTAACACCTTCAGCAGCTTGACTGCTTAAAATGTTAGTTGGCATGATGTTTGCTTCACCAACTAAGCATTTTTGTTTAGTTGTTGTTGTGGTCAAACTCGATAAACATCGATTCAGTTCTCTAAAAAATTAATAAAATAAATTTTCAGGTTTATTGTATAACTCACATATCACAGTCTCATAACACTATTTGACATATACTCGAAGACTTTCCACAACTGAACAAAGTTTCACTGCATTCCTTTGGATACTCTTGAGGAGTTTTTTTACACTCTTCGAAGTTTAGTTTTTGTATATAGCATTCATGACGAGATTTACAACAACTATTTTTAAAGAATTAAAAAAATAATTTAGTGATTAACCTATCTATGGCATCGATAGCTTCCATTACAATATTTTGCTTTATATGGAACGGGTAATATTCACCGCAACTGAAAAAATAAAATATTCAATAAATTTTAAATTAAATAAAAAATAAATTTTTAATTATTTTTTTAAAAATACGTAGAAACACTTACAAGCAACCATGTCTACCATTAATGCCATTACCAATTCCATGTTTCTGTATTTTATCACAAATAGGATAAGCGAATGTGGCTGATGTTTGAGCTGCAATATGAATTAATTTACATTCTGCCTTAAAATAAAGAGAATTTCGCTTACCCTCCCCTTGTTTATTCATTAAATTTTCCAATTCTTTCATTTCTTTAACAGCGTCCATTCCTTTTTCAGCATTTTCAGCAATTTGTCTTCCAAGCTTTGCTGCTTCTACTCCAGTTCGACTAGCTTTAACAGAAATTCTATCAACATTTGCCCAATCCTCATTTGAATTTGATTTTTCAGCCTTTGCAATGGCATCCTCCAATTCTTTTTCAACACTTTTTATTTTCTTCCTCATGTTTTTCATTGCATCATTAGAAGCCTTTTGATCTGCTTTCAACGCTGCAGCTGTTTCATTTAATAATTTTTGTGCTTCATTTACATCTATTTTTTTATTAGATTTCAACAATTTTTTTATATCATTCGTCGGTTTTGTTAAGCCATTAGTTTTCGAATTAACAATTTTTAAAGGTGAATTGCCAGCTTTACCATCTTCTTTAGACATGAGAAGATTCCAGCAAATCTGCTTAACGTTAGGTTCATCAAATTCGGCAAGGCACTCAGTCAATTTTCTTAATTATAAAAAATTATTTAAAAAGCTGTTTTTATATGCCTTAATTGTATCATAAAATTACCCCAAAACAGATCAAAAATAAAGTTTATTTTAATTCAATTTAATAAATAATAATTACTTATCACAATTGCAGATTTCATTATTACAAGTTTTCTTGTCAATGCAATTCATATGGGCTTTCCCTTTATTATTCCATTGACAATGCCAATCATAATATGTTTGATCTAATTTTTTCTCATAAATTTCAAAAATTTTAATGTTCGCACATCCTTTCTTTTGTTTAATATTCAAAAAACATTTAGTCCGAGTTTTACAACAACTGTAAAAATTATTAAATTACTGTAATTGATTAAACTAAGCTAGCTTGCAACTAAGGCAAGGGTTTGAGATTATTAAAAAAAAGTTAGTTGTCTCGTAACTCGTCAGTAAAACATTTGTGTTGGCCTAGAGTTTGGAGGTTCGATGCTACACTGTTCTTTTTTCTTTTTATATTTTGTAATTCACTATGCTTAAATTGAGCTACTTTTATTTTTTATTTGGTTATGTATTAAAATATAAAAATAATATCGAACCGATCAACATCATCAACAGGCGCACGAACATCATGATCAATATCGGTATTATTCCAAAGGCTTGAGCAACTGAAACATAATTTTGAGAAAAAATAAAAAATTCAACATACTGGCAGCCATATAAATTAAAATCAGAAGGACTACTCTCGAGTTGACAATGTTTTCCTTAAATAATTAATATTTTCAATTAAATGTGTTACCTTTAGTGGTCGTCATAATTGTAGTAGTTGTAGATGTTGATGTTGTTTTTAACTTTGTTGTTGTTGTTGTTGGTACAATTTTATTTGTAGTCTGAAAAAATTTTATTTTAACTAATACATCTATTTTTTTAATTTGATTATTTTTATAGAGGTCGATTATCAGCTGGTACCAAGAGCTTTTAAATCAGTTCCCAATTGTTAACTACTGTTAACAAATCAACACATTTGTACTCTTTACCTTTTCACAAGCAGAAGAAATCCATGAATAACCGTTTCCATCAATCATATTAATCTTAAGCAAGAACGCCCCAGGAAATTCAGATAGCAATGGATTTTGCTTATTTTTCATTAAATTAATATATTCTTTGTCAATGCGGCTTGCATCATATATTTTCTCTATTAAAATATTTTTAAAAATTTTCTTTTTAAAAAATTTTCATTTTTACAAAATATTAGGTAATTTGTATTTAAATTTATTTTTGTTGAATAATTTATTTAAATTAATTAAAAAACTAACTTGCATATACTTTTTCTCCTTTAAGAAACTTAAAAAAATCGAGTGTGCCAACATTTTTCAACTTCATAATATAGCTTAAAAAATTTATTTATTATTTAGAAATAATAAAGAATAAAAATAATTAATTACTTGCGAGGGTAGACATCAGCTTTTATATGTAAAGAACCATCAACTTCTTTAACTCCAATACCTCTCCATGCATTCGATCCTTTACATATTTTTTCTTTAGAAGTAATGTTTTCCATGGCGAAACGTGCGGTTGTCTTAAAATTTCTCTTAGATGCTATATCGTAACAAATGATGACACTTAATTAATTTTAATTATTTTATTTGTTTTTTAGTTAATTTATTTTTTTATAATCAAATTTACCTTGAGCAAGAATTAATCACTTTTAGGATGTCTTGCGTGATGGATCCAGTCCATTTTATCAATGGATTGCCCCCTAATGCTGCATTGAATAATAATAATAATAATAAAATAAAAAAATTCATTATTATAAAAATTCTTTAAAAAATAAATTTAAATCAAAAAAATTAAAGAAATTTAAAATTTTATTTGCTTTTAAAATAGGTTATACTTCTAATAAAACTTAATTATTAGAAATTTTTATCTAATCTAGCATCATCGCTTAACTCTATAGCTTTACATTTTTTTAAATTAGAAAAATAAATTTGAAAAAAATGAAATAATTTATAAAATTATTTTTTAATGAAATGCATCTCTAAAACATCAATATGTGTGGTATAAATTTAATTTTATTAATTCATTAATGCCTAATGTGATTAATCTTTTATAAAATAAATTTTTTTTAATTTAAAGTGAACAGAATAAATGTTGAATTTCATTAAAAAAATAAATATTTCTGTTAATGATCGAAGCTCAACATGAATAATCATCAAATATTAAAATAAATTAAAAAATTAAATAAAAAATTTAAATAAATTTATAAAATTAAATTAAGACTGATAAAGGATAAAATAAAAAATTAAGCCATTTATACGACCATTTTTAAAAATTACACATTAAAATTACACATTGCGTTGAACTAATTCTTAAAAGTTTTACGTTCTGCTAATCTTAAGAAATCCAAAATAACAAATTTTATAAAATTTGTTAGAGAAACATATTTTTATAAATGTGAAATTTTGGAAAATTTAATAACTTTTGATAAGAAATTATGTTGCTTTTCAACATTACCTATATTTTTTACTAGTTTGAATGCAATAAATAATGGCTTTTAATTTATATAATGTATTTTCACAAACATCCTATCTAGGAACCATTTAATATTTTACATCTTAATGTATTTACTAAAATAAACTTAAGCTCCGACCTCTAATTCCTTTTATTTCGTTCCAAATGTTTATTTAACCATCTTTTCTAAATTCAATAGAAAATATTGAAGTGAAGGGGTTATAATTTTTATCTTTGAAAATCCCGAATAGTCTCCTTTTAATTTGACTCATTTTTAATTTATAAACGATTAATTTAATTTATATATTTAATATAATTAATTAAAGTCGTCAATATCGAGGTTAAAATAATATTGTACTATTTCGAATTATATATTTAGCTAGAAACAGCTGGATCTCATTAAAAGATAAAGACTTTTCTGGTCAAACTACCGTATTTCCTCAAATAGTACGGCCCCCTCAATTAGAACGGCCCCCTCTATTAGTACGGCCCTTTAGATGAGGGTTGGAAAATAGTACGGCCCCCTCAATTAGTACGGCCCCTCAAATAGTACGGCCCCCATTTTTTATTTTTCAATTTTTATTGTAGCGTTTGGCGTTATGTTCATGCTTATTTAAATGAGATAGTTAAAGATCGGAATACTGAAAAAACCGGGTCCGGGAACCGAGAAACGGGTTTTGAAGGTTGACCGGGAGGGACCCGGACCGGGAAAACCGGGAATTTCCGGTTTCATCCCCCCGAATTTCCGGTTTCAATTTCCTGTTTCACCACGAACTATTCTAAGTTCAGGAACCGGAACCGGAACTTCCGGTGAAACTCTAATACAGATATTGTAAAAATGTCTGCGGATATCCGTATGTATCCGCCGTAAATATAGGATACGGATACCAAAATCAGAATCCGTATCCTAGTTTCATTAAAATAAGGTAAACTAGTATATTTCGCAAGTAAAAAAGATTTAATGGGTTGATAAGCGATGCTCTTGCCAATCAAAAATTTGTCTGATTATCATCAATCTCTCCTTGATCATCGATATCTCGTTCAGTCTCCCGTCTTCTTATCACCTCTTTAATCACTCTAATCCTTCTTAATCTCTCAACTTTTAAATTAATCACCCACGGATGCACAAACCTAACACTTGACACTCGATAAAACACTCAACAAAGGTCGATCTGGATGCCATTTTAAATGAAGCCGAGCATTTTAAGGTCTTTGGTAATTTCAGTTTGAATTTAGGCATTTGATTAAGTTTAAGTTTTTAGTCACACGCTAGTGAATGTAATAAAAAACAAAAAATTTCAATACACACAGCCTTAGTTCAAGGTGGCATAACCAGAAAAATTATTCAGAAAATTCCGAAGGATGGTTGAAATATAGTACGGCCCCCTCAATTAGTACGGCCCCCTCAAATAGTACGGCCATTTGGAAGAGGGTTGAAAAATAGTACGGCCGGCCGTACTATTTGAGAAAATACGGTAAATATAATACGTGGCGCGACATTTGGGGATCAGACTTTTGGGGATCCGACATTTGGGGACCCGACTATTGGGACCAGACTATTGGGGACCGGACACTTAGGGACCCGACATTTGGGGACGAAATAAAATTTTAAAAGAATTTGAAAATCTACCTATAGCAGGTCTTTAATGCATGGTCTGATAGTAATAAAACATGGGCATTGACTCAGCTCGATGTCTGAGTCGAGTGAGGATGAAAACCAAGAGCTGGAGTCAGATGTCGAGTGATTTAAGCACGGGAGTTAACGATCAAGCGCGGGCCGTTGAACCCCGCGCTTAATCTTCAACTGACGCGATTGGTTTTCACCCTCATTTGACTCAGACATCGAGCTGAGTCAATGCCCATGTTTTGTTACTATAAGACCATGCATTAAAGATCTGCTTTAGGTAGATTTTCAAATTTTTTTGAAATTTTATTTCGTCCCCAAATGTCGGGTCCCCAATAGTCGGGTCCCTAAGTGTCGGGTCCCTAATAGTCGGGTCCCCAATAGTCGGGTCCCTAAGTGTCGGGTCCCTAAAAGTCGGGTCCCCAAAAGTCGTATCCCCAAAAGTCGTCCCCAAAAGTCTGATCCCCAAATGTCGGATAGCCATATAATATACGTTTTTCTACATGTTGTTGGCCAGATAAATAGGGGGCGAGGTTAGAAATAACATAGATTTAAAGCAAATATTTCTTTGGACTGAGAAATATTGCTCGATTTATTCGGATTTCTCTATTTCCTATAATGCGGTAAAGCCTTATAACTAACAAAAAAACATCTAAAATGGATAACATTTTTATAACAAGAATAATACAAAAATAACAGGGTGCCGGAATTTTGGTCACTGGAATTTTGGTCACCAAGGATTTTCGGAACTTTGGTCACCAACATTTTTGGAATTTTGGTCACTAGCGGAATTTTGGTCACCAAGTCAAAAAGCGGAATATTG